TATTTGCTGCTTTCACGTCTTTGTCTGAGAAATGTCTGTTCATTTCAGATGCCCATTTTTGAATTGGGTCTTTGAATTTGGGTGGTCTGATTTTTTTCAGTTCTTTATATATTCTAGATAGTAGTCCTTTGTCTGAGGTACAGCTGCTAAAAATGTTTTCCCACATTGTAGATTGTCTGTTAGCTCTGTTGGTGGTTAACGGTTAATGTGTCCTTTTTCTCTCACTCTGCTTTTCTTGTCAGTAGAATGTATGGCTGACAGATTTCTCTTAAGTTTCTGGATGTGATTACTAAACTCCAGAAAATGTTAGAACAACAAATGAGGAAGGACACCACCTTATTTATTTTATTGTAAGTCTTGTGTATTGTGCATAACATTGTGGCTGATTAATACATGTATGAAAGAATAAATGACCAAATGGCCTTTCTGATAAGTGGAAAATGAAGAAGCTCAGAAAATAAAAATAACTCATGTTATAGACTAATTGCTCAAGGGATAAGAAATAGACCATAAGATTTCTAAAGTTCATTTCAATTAAAACATTCTGAACTGTCTTTATAACACTAGGAAATATTTAGGATGTCACATAGAACAAATTAATTCTTTATTCATCTTTATAGGCATTGAGTACAAAAATGTTTGTGATATATGTATACATGGTGGCATATACACATACATGGTGGCAAAATTTATAATTGCTAAATTTTGGAACGAGCCTATATGTATATCAGGAGATGGATGGATAAAGAAAATGTGGTATTTACACACAGTGGAGTGCTACTCAGCCATAATCTTGACTTATTTGTAGGAAAATAGATGTACCTTGAGACTATAATGTTAAATCAGACACACAGTCTTAAATATAGCCTGTTTTCCCTTATAAGAAAAATCCAAATTATAAAAAAAGAGCAAAATAAAATATAGATAATAAGACATAAAGAGATAGATCTTTCTCAAATGGGAAGGGAATCTAGAGATGGAGGGAGGGAGGGAGGGAGGGAGGGACAAGCAGGGAAAGGGTGAAATAGGAATTACTGTCTTATATAAATGTACCGACTCCACACGAAGAATGTAAACATTATGTACTGCAAACATATACTAATAAGAATTTTAACAATAAAGAAATTTTAATTTATTTTCAGTATACTTTTTGGCATATTATCCAAATGTCCCTTGGTATATATGTACCACTTTTGCAATTAAAAGTGTTCTTTAAAAATGAAAAACTATACAATTAGGATTTCAAATGTATGTACTGAACATAAGCAAAGTGGTACAGAAAGAGAGACAAGCAGAAAGAATACATGAAGTTATTTCTTTTTTATTTTACATGGAGAAGCTGTCTTCTATACTGCATGTACATTCAATCTACCTGGATATATGAGCATGTCAGCATGATCCATAGTAAAAAAAAAAAGAAAAATATTGCCCACTCTTGTGGCCTTTATCCCCTTGATCATCCTTATTGATTCAGTCTTGCTCTTTGAACGTGCATAATATCATCAGGTTTCCATAAAAAAAAAAAAAAAAAT